TTCCTGTTCCTCCCCAGAGCTTGGCCCGTGGCCTGGTACATAACAAATGCTCAGTAAATTATTTGTGTGATAAATATATGATTTAATAGCCAGTAACTCTGTTTGAGGATTAGGAACAGCAAGCTGTGGGGTAAGAAAGGCAAAGAACTGGATTATAGGTTTATTTCAGGTCAGTTCCAGACCAACCCCTTAATTAGTTCCTCTTCTGCCTAGTGACAGGACTCCACACTGAAACTGACCTTGAACAAGTTTGAGGCCTGGGGCTTAGAGCACCCAGCAGAGGTAGCTGTGAAACCCTTAACTGGGCTGAAGTAGAAAGGAGAGTGGGGGGTGGGGGAGAGCACAGAGCAGGACTCTGAAGTCTGCCTGGGGCTTAGTAGGCAGCAATGGGGAGGGGTGGCCCAAGGCCAAGGGCTGGGCCAGGGCCCACGAGCAGAGGCCGAGGGGAGGTGAGGCTGAAAGGGTCAGCAGGGGATCCCCCAGGGCCTCGGGCCACAGTGATGCTAACTTTCCTGTGGGTGCTCCAGCCAGGAGGTGAGATTTTATTTGGACTCTGACTACTGAATGTACGGTTCGGAAGGCATTGTTCTGCTAACTGACTCCCTGCTGGCTGCCACCTACTCTTAAAATGCAAGATTACGTCATCCAGCAGAAAACAGCAAACAGCGTCTGGAGTATTCTCCCCCACCTCCTGGCAGTGCGGAGAGGCTGCCCTTTGCCCCCCCCCCCCCCCAATCAGAATGCTTTCTCTGTGCCTAATGTACCCAGAGTGGGGGAGAAAGAGCCACTTTTAGATTTGGCAGAACCAGCTGCAAGGGGGGAGCAGGGAGGGGGGCCTTGTTGCAGCTCAGTGGGAGAGTGGACCTTGAAACATGCTTGAGGGGCTGGTTCCAGGAAGGGTTGAGGAAGCATTGTTGGCTGTAAATAAATCTCTATTCTCTCAACCAAGACCTGGTACTTCTTCGGAGTAAACCCTCCCAGCTCAGATGGCAGTTTAGCCCGCTTCCCGGAGCCTTATCTGACTTCCTTCCTCTGTTCCTGTCTCTTCGGCCATTCTGTAGGGCCAGCCACCTTCCAGGCTCTGTCCCTGAGCGTGAGGCCCCTGTTGGGCACTTGTATTCCTGCAAGTCTCAGGTGTAATTGCTTAAGGAACCCAAGCTGGCAAGTTCCGATCCCTCCTCTCCAGGATGCCCCTGCCTGGTGCCCTGCTCAGTGGGCCTTGGCCTCAGCGGAGGCCTGGGGAGGTTGGAGGGGTGCAGTAGGGAGAGGGGCCTTGCCAGAGCTTGGCTTCTCTGACCAGCTCAGCCTGCTCCCTTTCCCATCTTCTCACTCAGCTTTTTTGAGAAGCAGGTTTTGTTTTGTTTTGTTTTGTTTTGTTTTCCCTTGTGTCTTAATTGGACTTGAACTGCAGGGTGTGAGAGATCGGACTTTTCTGCTCTTATCTTGGCTGCTCTTCGTCTCCTCAGGCAGAAGTCTTGTTCTCACCTTCCTGGTGAAACTCCTTTGCCTGCTTGTGTCCAAGGGGCGTGTGCTCACGGCTGGGCCTGGGGACTGATCCTGCCTCTGCTGATGGCTGACGCAGACAGACCTCTGCCTCCTGGCTCTCTGCTCAGTTCATCGCTTTGACCAACTGAGAATATCCACCTGGAGGCCGCGCCGGCTCCGTGCAAGTCAGGACAGGTGTCCCCACGCATGCCAAAGCAGTGCTTTGGAGGAGAAAAGGAACAGCGGTTTCTTGTTGCTCTTTACTTGTGAAAAAGGAAGAAGCAAGCCAAAAAAGGGGGAAACTAAAAGGATTACTAACTGCCAGTCTCCCCACCCCCCTCCCACCCCCGCTGCATTAAGGACATGGCGAGAATCCTTCCCTGTACCAGGTTTTGTAAAACCGGTTTCCTGAACTGCTGGTAGCTTCGTCATGTGTCTCTTCTATCTCCTTCATTTTGTCCTCTTTAAACACTTTGATCAAGAGTTTTATCTGACATGGCGGCTGCCTTCCAAGATAACCATCAGGCGCTGCTTCATTCTCCTACCGAGTTCCTGGTGCCTGCGGGGTGACTGTCAGAGGCCCCTCGGGGTCTCCACTTGCAGCCCCTGCTTCCCGTCCTCCTGAGGCCGCTTTCATTTGATGAAACTTACGGTTGGCGTGGGGGGGGGGGTCTAAGAAGCATCTTTGGGGTAATCGACACCTTCTGAGTGGTGTCCCCAGTCTCCCGGCCTGCTGAGCTTCCTTCAGCACCTCCAAGTCCTCCCCCAGGTCCACTCTCCGCGCCCTTCTCTGGCGCATAGCTGAACCCCTCTCCCATGCTTGGGGTGGGTTGGGGGTTTGAGCTGCTTTAGGACCCGAAAGAACTGTGGCTGTGCCTTTCTTCTTCAGGCGCAGCTTGGGCCGGGGGCCGGGGGTGGGGTGCTTCTGCAGGCTCCCAGCCACCTGCTTCCAGAGCAAAGAATCACACTCCAGATGTATCCAGGTGTGGCCACCAGGAGGCTTCTCGTTGCTTGATTCTCCGGGGCCTTAGAAGGCCCAGGGGTGCCTGGGACACATGTGGGAGCTCTGAAGAGAGACTCCCAAGTCTTTCCAGGAGACCTTAGGCAAAGTTACATGGTGTGACCTGTGGCGGCTCCTGTATACTTCGGCTAATGGTGTTCTCTCACGGCAGAAGTCTTCCCTGGCTTGGGGCTGGGCCCCTGTCTGTTGCCAGCACCTTGCGCAGAGGGGCTGTGGAGGTAGTGCCCACAGCTGGGAAGCTGGAGTGAGATGTGTTTCTGGAGATGTTTGGTTGGGATTAAGATTGCTCCGTGGGGCTCAGGGTACCCTCAGGCTGCGGGGGGGGGGTGCGCTTGCGCCCTGGAGAGTAGAAGCAGTAGGTGGCAGGTTGATAGGCAGCTACTGTGCTTATTTTTTTTCCCCTTCAATGTGTAAAGATTAACTTGGGGGGAATGGGGAGCCGAGCTAAAAAAAAAAAAGGAAATACTAAAAGAAGGGGGGCTTCCTGTTGGCAATTCTGTGCCATCATCTCCTCCCAGAGACGTGACTGAACAGCCTCCGCTGAGCCCCAAGGACCTTGTGAAATTCGGGAATCCCCGCCCGCCCGCCCTGCCCCTGTGGCCTCTGCTGGGAGCCACAGGGAGGCTCCGCCCGCTACCTTCCCGGGAGCCCCTGGAGTAAACACTGAAGAGACAGGGCCTGCTTGATGACTAACTTCCTGCACCGGGGTGGACAGGGTAGGGCTCTGCGGATCTGCAGCTCCGTCCTCCGCCCTGCAGCTCAGGCCTTGAGCCTCCAGAGGGACTGGCGCGTTGCTGCCTGTGGGGGAAGATCCCATAAGGGTCCCCCCTCTCCCCACCTCAGGAGGGACAGGACTGGCTGGGGGGGCATGCCATGGGCATTTTCCCACAGTTCGTGCCCAGAAAGCTGTCCCCTAGAGGGAGGCTTGAGGGACCTTCTGCGGCCCTGCGTTTTGTTGCTGCCACGCTCTTTGACACGGTGGCTCCTTCAGAGTCCCAGCTACAAAGGCATTGTTGAGGGTCCCCTGGAGACTGGCACTCTCTGTAGCGCCGCTGATGGATGACCAGCCTGAACTTGGCGGGCAGGCCCCCCCCAACACCCCTGACCCCTCTGCAGTAGCCCTGCTGCCTGCTCGGCGGGGGGCGGCTGCTGGAGAGTTGCTAGGCAGCCCCTCCTGCGCGTCCTGCCCACCGGGTCATGAATTGCAGCAGTGTTCAGAGCAGCGAGGGGCTTGGCCTGTCCCTGAACCAGGGAGGACTGTTTGGGAATGGGGCTAAGAATGGCTGCTCTGCTGTCAGCGTGGGCCTGGTGCCCGCGCCTGCCGTCCTGAGACGTTACCCTGGTGTGGCCGGTGTAACTGGCATCCGCGGCGCTGCCCACGGGCATCTCCGGTTGCTGCATTGTCACTGTCTCCTCTCCCTCACCAACCACGGCCTCAGGAAGCGACATCCAACAGCTTCCTGGGAGCGCACCGTCTGCCATGAGTATGTGTGGCACTAGAGACCCTGATCTGACTGTGTTTGAGGGGCTGGGTTCCCCGAGAAGTGGGGGAAATGGACATGTTCTTGCCATTGTACGGTTGGGGCAATGGAAGTGGGGCGAGCCTGCCGCCCCCTGTGGCTGGCTTGGAGAGCGGCTTCCTGCTGGTTTGGGTTGGTGAAGCTCCTCCGAGCAGCGGGGCCCAGAGTGCGTGCGGACCCCGGCTGATTGGCAAGCTTAGCACTCGGGAGTCTGCAGGAGGCTGGGGCCAAAGGGCGCGTGGATGTGGTGGCTGTGAGGAAAACTTTTCTTGTGAGAGGAGCCAGAGAGGGGGCCGCCTCTGTGCTGGGGCCGTTTGGTGCCTGGTTCCCTCACTGATTCAACCTCACGGGTTCCCTGAGCTTCCCCCCTTTGTGCTTAAACGAAAAGTGAGAAAGATCTCCTGGGAGCAGCCAGTCTGGGGTCGACTCTGGGGACTCTCACGTTATAAAGTAGCCACCACTGTACTGGGTGGGGTGGGGTGGGGTGACTGGCCGGCCCTGGGGGAGGGGCCGTGCAGCTGATGGCGGACCGTCATGCTCCTCTGCGCTGGTCAGTCTTGCTCACTGCTGAGGGCCATGGAGAGATCGACCAGGGTCTGGAGCTTCCCTGCTGCTCGGATGAGGAAGAAAAGGAGGATTAGGAGGTTCAGGGGTCCCAGAAAACCCTCCGGGCATCTGCTCACTGTTAGGTTCCTGGCAGCTCCTCGTCTTTCCTCAGAAATCCTGAGTGGTCTCGGTGAAGAGAGGAACTGTGGGTCAGGGGCCCCGGCTTACCTTCTTGTATTTCTGTTTCTTTTTTTTTTTTTTTTTAGGCTTTTGCATTTACTTATTTATTTTAAATATATATTACTTTATTTTTTTATTATTTAAATTTTATTTTTGTATTCCCCTTACAATTACAACCCCCTTATTTTGACCCCAAGCCCTCCTTTCCCCGCCCCCCACCCCCCTGTATTTCTGTTTCTGTCTTACAGGATAACACAGAAGTAGAAAAGCGAGACCCCCAGGAATTAGTTGGTAAGTACCCCAGGGGGGCGCGGGCATGTTTCTGAGACTTGCCCAGAATCAGCTGGCACCACCCTGGCTGGCCACTGCATGAGGCGTCTGCTTCAGGCAAGGCTGCTGTTTCTCTGGAAGCCATTTCTTGTGTTCCCTGTCAGGGCTTCGCATTCCCTGAGGAGTCTGGGGAAGCTGCCCTAGGAGTAGTTCTTCAGGCATTGTGTCCGTGCTGCCTTCCCCGGGCTTGGTGCGTTGGCAGTGTGTGGAGGGACAGTTGAGGCCTTCCACTGGCACTCAACTCCCCCTGTGCCTGGGCCCGCACCCTGTCCTTGTGTGCTTTGTCTCTGGAAGGAACCTTGCAGCCCCAGAGTGTGGGACTCTCTGTGCCTCGGGAGGGCAAAGTGGTAGTTTCTGGAAAGTGGCACACCTGTCAGCCCTGTGCTACAGTAGCTCTTGTCTCTTAACACCCCTTGACATGGAAGTGCCCACCCAAAGCCTGGCCAGGCCATTCCCTGCCAAGGAGACTGGAGCCTGACCAACTCCCTTGCTTGTCTCTGCAGTGGGGTGCCTGTGTGGCGCCCTCTCCTTGGGCAGGTGGCCTGCAGAGCCCGTGGCAGTGCTGGCAGAGAGGGTCAGGGCATGCTTACTTCAGCCCTGGGGACACAGTGCCCTGAGCTCAGCCTGCCAGTGCCACTTCTTGCAGCCTCTGCTGACTGGCCTTTCTCAGGACAGGATCCTCTCACTGGGATCCTGGGAAATCGGCTACTCTTTTCCCGAACTAGAAGGCCCAGAAAAGGATCATTCTGTTTGTCCTCTGAGATTGGGTGGGTAGGACTGACCTCCCAGAGCAGGCCCCCAGTGGGCTCTGCCTTTCTCCTGCCGTCCCTGATGAATAGAGTGAGTCTTTGCAGTCCTTGTGCAAAAGCCAGGGTTTTGCTAAAACCTTCAGTTTGCTCTTTAGAAGATGGCACGTTAGGACACACCAGTGAGCTTTGTGGGCCGGGGAAGCAGAGCACACACTTGCCACAGCCCCTGGCCTCTCGCAAGTGGTGACCAGGGGGGCTGCTTGTGGACTGGAGTCTCGGCCCCCGTCCCTGCTGTTTCCAGCTGGGAGACAGCGCTGTCGCCCGGACATCTTCCCCAAGCAACTGCACCTTTTCTTTCCTTCCACTTTTTGAAAACAGCCCTGCTGAGGTGTAATTTACGTAGACTGGTCCATTTGAAGTGTGTCATGTGGAGCGTCTGACAGACACGTGCGGTCATGCTAACCCCATCACGACATCGATGGCCGAGCATTTCCCACACCGGATACTTCCTGTGTTTTCCCTGCCAAGGGAAAACTGGCACTGCCCCCCCCCCCCTCAGCCTGGGGCACAGTCGTCTCTTTTCTTCACAATAGTTTTGCCTTTTTTAGCATTCCACATAAATCAGGGTTTCTCCACCTCGGCATTACGGACCTGCGAGGCTGCGGAGTTCTCTGGTGCAGGGCCCGTCGTGGGCGTGGTGGGGTGTTGCTGCAGCATTCCTGGTCTCTACCCAAGGGGGCCGGTAACACGCCCCACCCCAGATGTGATCCCAGGCATTGCTGTGAGTGGGGGGTGAGGTAGGCCAGAATTGCCCGCAGTTGAGAACCCCGGGCACAGATGGAGTCAGAAGCTTTGTCTAGGTCGGTCTCTGCACTTGCCATACTCATTTGGAGGGCCATCCACATTGGAACAGGCAGTCTCTCCGCGTTGCTAAGAGTTGCTTCCTTGCGGGGGGTGGGGTACCCCCCACTCTTGCTCTGCACACGCACCCAGGGAGAATGGGGCAGAGCTTTAAGCCACCTCTTTTTTGGTTTTTGGGGTTTTTTTAAAGATTTATTTTATTTATTTATACATACAAGAACTGGGGTGAAGGTGAGACAGGAGGGGTCTGCTGCGCCATGTGGGTTAGCGCCCTGGCCTGGGATCGAACTTAGGCCGCAGTGGCTGGTGATGGTTTGATAACACTGAGACTTTAACCCCTGCACTACCAGGAGGCCTGAAGCCTCCTGGTTTTGACCACTCAAGCCATTGCTCACTGGTTTAGCTTGCAGAGCAGCTTCCCCTTCCCTGGCCGTGGTGGGCAGCCCCTCCGCCTTGCCTGGGCTCCTTTTAGCTCAAGCCTCTGGAGAGGACTCTAGAGTTGCCCCCTAGTGTCAGAAGTGTTTTCAGACGTGTGGGAAATGTCGGGCTGCTTGGAGCAGATGAGACCCACTGTGGCTGCTTAATAGAGCTAAGCGCACATGCCCTGTCGGTGCCTTCCAGGGCCGCCCATGGCTAAGGGGTGGTGAGCCATTGCATTCTCCCTGTCTCTGATGTGCTCAGGACACCCCACGCCTTTTGCTTGTAGCCCACAGCGCCCCTGAGGCTTTCCCTCTCCCACATTGTGAGACTGCTAAGGAGCAGCTGCTCAGACTCCTGCCTGGCAGCTACCAGACCGGCGCTGTTCTCTGACCTGGGCGTGTGCGGGGCTGAGTCACACAGGCCTCCCGGATCCTGAGCACTGCTGCCCTTCCACAGCGCCCCCGGCGCCCGAAGCAGCCACAGACGCTGGCGGCCTCCAGGGGCCCACAGTCACATTTCTTGACGTGTTTGCTGAGAAGGTGGCAGGAGGCTCTGTGTGTGTGTGTGTGGGTCCTTACTCGCCCGGATGGTTACCCTCTCCCAGCGTCGTGCTGGGGCTTCCTCTCCGCTGGGAGAGAGAATCACCAAAAGTTGCCCCTCAGATCTATGGAACAAGTTTCCTCTTGCTTCCTGAGCGTGTCCCCTTTACGGTAGCCCCTGCATCCTTAGGGGGGTATGTTTCTAGACACATACACACACACACACACACACACACACCGGTGGAGGCCTACACACACACACACACACACACACACACACACACACACACACACACACACACACACACACACACACACCGGTGGAGGCCTAGAAGCACAGATTGTCCTTCTCTCCGGATACACCGCGGATTGTCCTGGCATGCAGGCCTGTGACGAGGTTTACTGCATGAATGAAGCCCGGTGAGAGACTGGCAGCGTTAGCCAGTAGTGAAATAAGAGTTAAATGTTCGCAGTAATGTGCTGTCATCAGCCCTGTGGTGCGGCCTCCCTCCCAAAGTATGTTATCATCCCTGATATTTTTCTACCACGATCGACCTCGGGTAGTTAAAGGGAGATTATAATATTTGCCAGTAACTCCCTAGGAATTTTCTTGTTCCTGGCCTGGGAGTTCGGGGGGGGGGCTGCCCCCCCATACTGTATACCATTGTAGCCAGAGTGTGGTTGGGTTGCTATGGCAACATTGTCACACCCTGTTTTTCCAAAAGGCTTTCCTGGCAAATGCCAAAGGGCGTTCTTTGTCTCTGCCACATGCATGCACACAATCTCCACCCCACGGAAGAGGCTGCCCCCCTTGCCTGTGTGCCTGAGCCTGCCCAGGCCCTCCCAGCTTGCTGGGGAGGACCAGCTCACCCCAACTAATTCCACCCTCTGCTGGCCTCTGCAGCCTGCTTGAGCCTGAGGCTCAGAACTGCTGCCTCTCCCAGGACTAGGAAGGAGGAGGTCAGGACTTGAACTCCAGCCAGATCTGGGTGTCACCCTGACTTCAGGGGACAAAAAGAGGGTGCTGGGCAAAGGGAAGCACGTAGTCCCCTGGTGGAAACTGCTCCTAGGCTGCGTGGGTGCCTGGCATCCACTACAGGACGTGCCACCCAGTCTCCATTCTCCAGGAGCATCCGGAGTGAGTCTGCGGCACGAGTGGCTATGTTTTGAGGCCCTGCCCTGGGCCCGGGGCCCCAGCCTCCATGATTGCAGCCCAGCGGAGCCGTGGCCTCAGCCCTCTCAGCTCCGAGTTCTCTCCAGTAACAGCACAGCAGGGTTCAAAGTACCTTCCGCTAAGAAAATGCTAACCAGCCAGGGGAGGCTGTGCGGCCAGCCCTACACGGCCACTAGGGTGAGCGCTGCCCCAGCCCAGACCTGGCACACAGTAGGTGCCCAGTCAGTACTTGCTGGGCTGTCTGTGCTGGTTTGTTCATTCTTTCCCTTCACCCCACCCCACCCTGTTCCTTTGCTCTTTGCTCACTGTATGCGCCTTTTCATGAGTGAATGTTTTCAAGAGCACAGACAGACTCTTACAACAAACAGTGCATTGTCTGAGGATCCAGTGCACGCTCTGCAGTCGCCAGGGTGGCCAGCGGCTACGGGCAGGGATTGGGGAGGGAGAGAAGAACCTGGGTGGGCAGTGGCAGAGCAGTGGGCATTGTCCCTGAGGTGGTGTTTCTTCCCATCAGAATCAGACCTTTTGTTCCCAAGAATGAGTCCAAGAGAGGCACCATTGGTTTATGTTTCAAAGGCCCTAAGCTAGTAACCAGTGGGACTGTTTCTTACGTGACTGATGCCCAAGACAGTTTTGAATGCTTTGAATCCAAAGCCTCAGAACCTTTATCTATAGTCTGCTATGAGAAGGATGGTGGCCCGCAGCTCTGGGTGCCCAGAGCCCGGACAGGTTTCAGGGGCATCTCGCTGGGGTGCTAAGCTGGCCACACTGCCAGCCAGCCAGCGGGGCATGTCTCATCAGCCCCAGGTTCCAAGACTTCCAGCCTGAAACTGGCAGTGGCCGCAGCTCCTGGCTTGCCCTGCACCCTGCTCCTATCCCTCCCAGTGCGCATGACAGCACCGTCGCATGCACTTGAACCCCTGTCTGTTGGCACACAGGCTCCTTCCGGTCACTTGGTCTCAGTTCATACGACACCCTGATGTACTGTCTCAGTGCGGTCACCCCTCCCCAGAAACGCCCTGTGTGACTTTTTAATTTTGTCCACATCCCCCGTTTTAAACCCCACATCTCCCACATACCTGCAGAACTTGTCTGTTCTTCCAACAGCTTCCTTTTCTGAAAGAGTCCGGAATATGTCACCTGATGAGATTAAGATCCCCCCAGAACCCCCTGGCAGATGCTCAAATCACTTACAGGTAAGCGCAGAGCTGGCCTGCCGAGGCCTGTAGATATGAGGCTGCGTCGGGGGCCTGGTTTGATCTGCCTCTCAGAAGCTTCTGTGAAAGAACAGACCAGGGGGAGGGAGTCGGCAGCCCTGGCGAGGTCACTCGGTGCAGAGCAGTGACATCCCTTTCGTGCACCCAGCTGAGCCTGTGAGAATGTCTCAGAAGGAATTTCGCAAGGAACTGAGTGACCATCAGGATGTTAAATTAGCAAATTCCAGAAATGCGAGACCAACTGCACTTCGGAACACGAAATCCCCATCTTCTTCCTAAGGTGCCGCTTCCCTGACTTCTTGCCTCGCAAATCTCATACAGACCCACCTGAGGTGTTTGAAACCCCAAGAGATGGCGCGTTTAGCACAGTTGCTCCCTGGGGAACAGCACCTCGGAGTAGAGGCATGTGCCCCTCCTTTTCAGCCGCTCTGCCTGTTTCTCTGCGTTCCTCTGCGGGTTCCCCTGTGCGTGGGACTCATGCCAGACTGTCGGGCAGACATGCAAGGCTACCCCTCAGTGCTTCCCGGCCCACCTGCTCTACCCTGCGCCCCACTGCTTCTGCTGGCACCGCAGGCTCCACCCCCAGCGCTCTGCCTCCCCAGCAGGCAGATGACTAATGGGGCCTGGGGCTGTGAATGTGGTGGGCTGGGCAGGAGCCGCACCAGGGTGCAGCGCAGATTCTCCTCCCTTCCCAGAAGTCCTCTCCCTTTGCTGAGTGGTCTGCCCCTCTGCCCATCACCTCCATGCCCGGCATACAACTGACTAGCTCGGCCCTCAAGTGCAGAATATGGTCCCTTTTAGCTCCTCCCGTGGTGAAGCTGTGGCACTCAGCAAGCATGTAGTTCACCTGAGATGGGGAAACTGCTCTGACGGCACTGGAGCCAGGACCTGACAGATACAGGGCCACCTCGGCCCTCCGCGCCTTCTCTGGAAGGCCTCCCTGTGCCCTGGAACAGGTGCCGTTGAGGAAAGAGGGTTGTCGCTCTTGGCTTCTCTCCTCCCTGCTGCTGCATGACCAATCTCAGTGGGGGACCCCTCTCCCCGTGTTCCTGAAGGGCGCCACTTGGACCTGCAGCCCTCCCCACTTCCTCTCGCAGGAGAAGAGTGACCCTGAATGTTTTCTTCTGGAGCCTGCGTATTTAGCTGCCATTAGTGGGGGAGGCTGCAGAGAGACCCAGGCTGGTGCCAGCCTTCCTGGGTAAGACTGTTGCTCTCAGAGGTGGCTCTAGCCCAAAACTGCTTCTGTGGCTTCATCACATACTGGGCATTGCCAATGCCATGTGCTGTGGGCATGGTCTTTGGGGGGCACCTATGGCACTGACCTGGATCCCTGCTGGATAGTCCTGTCTCCCAGTGAAAACCCAAGAGAAGGCCATGGGTGGGGAGGGGTTGAAGAGACATGAACTCTGACCCCTGACAACTATAAGTGACTCTTGAGTCTCCCCACGAGGGACACTAGGAAGTGTGTTAGACCAAATCTGAAAACTGCCTTCCAGTCTGCCCAGGTCTGCCACCAAGGACTTAATCCCAGTTCAAATTGAAAATCCCTCCAGTGCCTGAGACTCCCAGTGACTCAGGGGCTGGGAACCTCTGGAGGCTCACGCGGCATCTTCTCCATGGCTTCTCTGCCTGGGTCTGTTACTGCTCATGCTAGTAGCCACGCAGGAAAAGCAAAACAGAAACAGACTGGTCGCCATCACCTTGTCTGTGCTCAGCGCTGGAGGGCTGGGTGCAGGAAGAGAAGAGACCGAGCAGGCATCACAGCGCCCTGTGGGTCTCCAGTGTCCAAGCCTCCGCACAGCCCCTGTGCCCGCAGTCTAGAGTTGGTGGGGGGCAGGGCTCTGCCATGGTGCCCTTCTGCTCCTCTTCCACAGGATAAGATCCAGAAGCTTTACGAGCGGAAGATAAAGGAGGGAATGGATATGAACTACATCATCCAGAGGAAGAAAGAGTTTCGGAACCCCAGGTGAGTGTCCCGTGACCAGCGGGGGCACTTGAGTCGTTGATCTTGGACTGGGGACCAGACGCCCCATGGAGGCCCAGGTCCCGCCTGAGCTAAGGGGCCGGCCCCAGCGCACGACTCCTCCATAGGCTTGCCTTCCAGGTTTAGACTAAGCAGGGAGACCAGGATGCAGAGAGGGAGCCGAGGGGCCTGCGTTAAGGAGCGCTCGCCTCTTGGGGCCTCCTCGGGGATGAGGGGTTGGGCTAGATGGTCCTGCCGGCTCTCGGTCTTCCCCTTGTGTGGGCCCCAGGGTCGTGGCCCCGACCAGCTGCACAGACTGAAGAATGCTGTCCAGATAAGACAGAAACGTGCAGCCAGACCCCTCAGCACCATCCACGTCCACCTGTCTGGGAGGTGGAGGACAGAGTGACTTTTATGTCAGGCCCTAGGAAGCCTGCTGGACAGTTTGACAGGGTTGAAATTTCGTCTCAGCCTAGGAACTGGCTGGTTCCAGCCTGGAATCTGGGGTCGTGTAGGGCCGTGGCACTAGGGCCTGCTCAGTGCCTCGCGGTTTTCTTCTTCCAGCATCTATGAGAAGCTGATCCAGTTCTGTGCCATCGATGAGCTGGGCACCAACTACCCAAAGGTGTGTCCCGCACAGAGGCTGTGGCGGGGAGGCGAGCCCCGAGGGGGGCGGCGAGCTCACTGCTGGCAGAAGAGTAGTCCCCAACTCTTGTTTGACCACTTTCGCTCAAAAATGGTCCAGTAAAGTGATTGGGCCCCTGGGTGGCCTGAGTGTGGGGTCCCTTTGTGCCTGTAAAACTGCCAGGGCGCTGCTGAACGAATGCCTTGCTGCCCCAGATTCCCGAGAAGACACGGGCCCCCCTTGCCTGGCGCCCAGGGGTGAAGGCTGAGCCCTCGGGCCAGGAAGGTCATGGAAACACGGAAACGGGGACTGGGGTCTCAGCTCTCTGTCGTCCACTGGCCCCTGCTGATGGCGCCTTGAACTTTGTCTTTTCAGGATATGTTTGACCCCCATGGCTGGTCTGAGGATTCCTACTATGAAGCATTAGGTGGGTAGCTACTGCCCGACCATCCGTCTGTCCATCCACTTGTCCATCTGTCAGTCACAAGTCCAGGCGGCATGTATTTCAGGGCCCCCTGAAGGTCCATAGTCTGGAACGTGACAGACCCCATCCTTGACTTACGAGGCTGAGAGGACCACCGAGGGGACACACTGAAGAAGTGACCCCACCGTGATGAGTGTTAGCACAGTGGGGGCCGGAGCGAGTCAAGCAGGACCCCCTAGCTAGGCCACTGGGCAGGGCAGTCATGCTAGAGCTGAGGTGTGAGGGCGCCGGGGGCTGGCCAGGCAGGTGTGACGTGGCCAGACCAAGGCACTACTTGCTCTGAGACCGGTGACAGCATGGAACTTGAGATGCCCACAGTACTCTGAGGGTACGTGTGCCCACGTCTCCAGCCAGCAGCAGCCAGAGGGGCAGATCTGGCCTGTGGGGTATTTGGCCCCCACATGTGTGTCTTGCTGGAATTTGAATTAGTTGCCAACATTTTCATTCCAGCTTCTTGTCAGTGGGGAGGTGGATCTCTCTGCCAGCTGCATTGTCTTAGGGCAAAGGTCAGCTGACCCCTAAAATGGGGTGCACAACCCCCAGCCTCAGGCTTTTGAGCTGGAGACCCCTGCTTGCCACCAGCCATTCTGGCCTTAGTTTCACACATCGTGAGAGGAGACGCTGGGCCACGCAGACTTGAATTTAGTGGGTCGGACAGCAGTGGGGAGGGCGCGTGCCGGACTGCGGTCTCTTGGCCTGAGTGTCTCCTGCTGTGGGCGTTCCCCGGGGCTGCTCTTGTGATGCTTCTCCTCCTTCTAGCCAAAGCCCAGAAGATCGAGATGGACAAATTGGAAAAAGCCAAAAAGGAACGAACCAAAGTAAGTGAGGGACAGAGTCCCAGAGTGTTGTTAATCCTGGATGAAATTGCCCTCGCTTGCCCTCCCCCTTCCAAATCCCAGGCCTGTTGGGGCGACCTGTCTAACATCTGGGGGCAGAGCTGTCCTTGCCCTGTGTGGCAGGCACTGCCTCCTGCAGGGTGACAGGAAGTCCTGGGCACATGAGACGTGGCGGGCGGTGCCCAGGGGTGGACAGCAGGTGGAGGTGCTGGCAGGGACCCGGTGCCTGCTTGGAGAGCGCCTCACAATAGTAAAAGCCCCCTCCGTGCCGCCCAGCGGTCGCGGCAGAGCTGCTTCTCAAAGCTTCCTTGCGCGTCAGACTCCTGTCCCCCAGGAGCAGAGCAGCGGCCAGCTGGGGGGCAGGGGTCACTGCTCCGCCAGGTCTCATTCTCTTCATGCTCCCCTTTCAGATTGAGTTTGTGACGGGCACCAAGAAAGGCACCACAACCAACGCCACAGCCACCACCACCACGACGGCCAGCACAGCCGTGGCAGGTAGAGACAGCTTTCTGCCCCGGCCACGGCGCAGAGGGAGTGAGGGCCCCACCTTGTTCTGGGGAGCAGGCACCACGGGCCTCCGGGCCCACGCCCAGCCTTCCATGCTTTTTCCTGAGCCTGGAGTTTGTAAGCCAGCTCTGGGGCAGGGTGGGGGCCCCGGGGCCCTGGCAGCCCGCTCTGAGCTAGAGCTCCTTGGGTGTCTGTGCCCTGAGCCCCGGCCGCCGGCCTGCTGGGAGAGGGCGGGTCTTTCGTGCCCCGTCTTGGTTCTGACCCCTCTCCCGCCGTCTTCCCAGATGCCCAGAAGAGAAAGAGCAAATGGGACTCGGCCATCCCGGTGACGACGATAGCGCAGCCCACCATCCTCACCACCACGGCCACTCTGCCGGCCGTCGTCACGGTGACCACCAGTGCCAGTGGCTCCAAGACCACGGTGATCTCTGCCGTGGGCACCATCGTGAAGAAGGCCAAGCAGTGACGAGAGTGTGGCTCGGGTGCTCGGACAATCTTTCCCTGAGGGAGGGCACGCTCCAGGCTTGAGCAGACTGTGGCGCAGAGCCGATGCCCGCCGGAGCGGCCACTTTGTATATTTCAGGACTGGGGCAGGCCCTGCCCCCCAGATGCCACCCCGACAGGAGTCTCTGTGTGGCGGTCCAGCCGGGAGGCCGCAGTGGAGCGGGTTCTGGGGCCGGGGTCGCTCTATTAAAGGTGCCGTGCTCTGGCGTCAAGGCTGCCCTGACCTCTTCCCCGGCCCGGGTGCAGGCGCACGCGAGAGCGCAGGTGTCCTCTCCTCTTCTCGGTTGGAATTACTGCCCAGGGTTGACAGCAGGGTGACAAGCCTGTGGCGCTCCTCAGAGGCGCCAACCCACGTAGTCGCCAGCTATTCCCAATGGATGCCTCTGGCACGCGGGAGTCAGGAGAGTGGGTGAGACCTGCGTTCCCGCCATCTGCACCCCTGGGGGCCACGGAGCCCTCCTTGGGCCCCAGAGACACATCCAGGCTTTTCAAGTCAAGTCAGTTGCCACATGGACTGGGGTTGATCCCCGACCTGCATGGGGGGTGGTGCTGGTGGGCGCCTGGCCAAGACCGCCCGTGCCTCCAGTGCCCAGTGAGTGTTCCGCGCTGCGGGGAGATGAGTCACCTCCTGCCCTGGCCAGGGGGGCGCTCATTGTTTCCACGAACTCTGGGCTCCCGGGAGGGTCCTGCCACCCCGCCCTTCCTATGCCTGTTATCTCTGCCCCACAGCAGCCCCCAGCTGGGCAGCGCCTGGGCCCCTCTCGGGTCAAAACAGATTTCCCAGCCACCAGAGGTCCAGGGGGACCTCTGCCCGCCTTGCCCTGCGGCGGAAGGGCCGGGTGTCGGGGAAGGAAGCTGGGCTGTGAAGAGCTGTGTTGCCTCAAGGGGCGGGTGGGAGTTTAGAGGAGGGTCTGAAACTGCACCTGATGGGCAGCCAGAGGCCCGTGCCCAGCCTGCCCCTGCGGTCCCGAGACAAACGGGTCACCCCTGCCCCTCCCCACACGCTCCCTCCTCTGTCAGGCTGTGCAGCCCCGGAGAGGGGAGCTGCTGCCGCCCCTCAGTCCTGAGGGGGCTTGACCCCTAGACTCGAACAAGGGCGCCTGTCCAGACGACGCCAGGGCATCACGGGGGCCTTGGGGAGCGGTGGGAGCGGTAGTGTATGCGTGGCCGGCACCTATGCTCCATCACAGTGCAAAGCAAGTTGTTCTGGGGTGTGTCTCGGGCCCTGCCCCGCTAGCCTTCTCGCGTGCATCAGCGCAGTAAAGCTTCTCAAAGTGGTTGCAGGAATCCGTGAGGCACGTGTGCCCTTTGCGGTGCCGGGCACCCTGCAGGTGTTTGCGATGATCCAGTTCCTTCTTGGTCGAGAGTAGGAGACAAGCACTCAGCTGATGAAAGTGGCCGGGGTCGCTTCCTCCTGCTCGGAGATGGGACTTTCCCCACAGCCTTTGCAGCAGCACATGGCCGGTGTCTCCCGTGGAGCTTGGCCACCGGGGCACTGGGGCCTGCAGTGGCTTCTGAGGGGCCCATCCCTGCGGACAACTCTCAAGCTGAAATCCACTGCCACCCCCTCTTCCTGCAGTTCCAAGTCTGGGGGAGCCATCCGGGCCCGCAGCACGTACCTGGAGTCATGTGCTCCCCCATCTGACGGGTCACTTCAGGAACCCCTTCTTGCCATTATTACTGCTCATTTGAGGTGCTCACCCCACTTGTGGCAAATTGCTGGGTTTCTCTGCACCTCCCATGCCCATCAAGCACCTTCCAGCCGGCCTTTCTATCTCTTTCTACCCTGCTCTTGCCAGGGTGCGATACCCACTCCCCTGGGGAGAGAAGCCAGCGGCCCACTTACCACTTCCAGCCTCTCTCTGCCACGCCACTGCCCTCCCCCACCCACACCTTTCCCCAGGGGAGGATGCCTCCAAGGCGCTCCGCTGGCTGCCGCTGGCTGGAGCCCTTCCTCACGCCCCTGGTGTCCCGCTGCTTCCTCCACGGTGCACTGCTGCCTCGAGCTCCGCCCACGGGCTGGTGCCTCCAGGGCCTCTCGAGGGGGTTCCCGAGGGGGTTCCCGAGCACCTGGCAAGTGACCAGGCAGGGGAGCAAGGTGGGTGGAAGGAGGCCTCCCTGCTCCAGGGTCACTGGGCCGAAAGCTCCTGGCCCTCCCGCCCCACCCTCACGAATGCCTACGAGTTGGTCACTGCCAGGCTCAGTGGTGGGCACCGGAGGACTCACTGCCCTTTCTATGTTTCTATGTTTTCAAATCTCTTCATACTAACAATTTTTTTTAGTGCCGTTGAGCCATAAACAAAGAATGAGGAAGATGTCCCCCATGGGCAGATTTTCATGATCCCCGAGAGAGATAAAGTGGAAAGGCCAAGCCACAGAGGGGCCGTCGTGTTTTCCCTTGTGCAAGGAAGAGGAATTGCAGAACAAAACAGGAAGGAGCATGAATACAATCAAAGACATTTAGAAAAATCAGTTGAATTTGAATTAGAAATGTCAGAACCTGAGTTCATGATTCAAAAAAAAAAAAAATTCCCCACCTCCTGCCACTGACAGGGACAGAGGCCTCGGCCCCTCGGCCCAGCGCGTACCTGAAGGGCCCAGTCTTCCCCCCCCAGAAGGAACCAGGCCTCCTTGGAGGAATGGCTGACCCTGAAATCTCAGTAGGGCTTGGGGGTGTTTTTTCCAGAAAGAAGACGAGGGTGTTTCAAGAGGTCAGAGGACGCGCTTTGAAACGATCTCCTGCTGGCCAGACTTGGTCCGCAGCTCGGTCTGCCGAAAGAACAACTGCAATGATTGTCCAAAAAGGAAAAACTCCTTTGTTTCCTGTGCATTGTTACACCACCCACAAAACACTGACACGCGATGTGTGGGATTTTCCACACCGAGTAATCTGGCACCAGCGGTTACAGTTCATGTGGACCACACAGGCTCCAGATGGCCCCGGCAGACACCAGCTGCAAGCCCAGGCTCCCCCAGACTTCTGACCAACTGCCTAGCCATCGGGCATCCCATAACCCCCTGCCCAGGCTCAGTCATTTGCTGGCATGGCCCGCAGGACTCAGGAAAACTGCTGGATTCCTGGCCACTTATATAACAAGACACTCAAGGAGAGTCAGATGGGAGATGCTGAGGGCACAGTGCCGGGTGGGGTGTGTGCCTGCTCTGGGTGCCCCACCCTCCCAGCACCTGCAAGTGTGAAGCAACCTGGAAGCTCCTTGAACCCCCTTCGGGTTGGGATTTTATGGCGGCTTCATTACTAGGCGCGGTTGAGTAAGTCGCAGACCATTGGTGTGGGCTCAGCCCCCACCCTCTCCCTACCCCAGAGGTGAGGTGGGAGGGAGGCGTTGACTTGAGAGTTCCCTAATCACATGGTTGGTTACCCTTGCAGTCAGCGCCCCATCCTCAGTGACTTTTGGAAAGTCACCTCATTATCATAAGCTGGAGTGGTTGAAAAGGGGCTTGTTATGAAGAACAAAAAAATCCTTTCAGGGCCTCCCTGGTGGTGGCGCAGCGGGTTGAGCAAGCGCTGTGAAGCTGTCCGCAGCCTCTGCAGTGCAGGTTCGATTCCCAGCTGGCCGGGGAGATTCCCACATGGCCCAGCAGACCTCTCCTGCCTCGTCCACTGCTCCTGTCAGCAGTGTACTTTGGTCCTGCCTGCTCTGCTCCCTGCTCTGTCTCTGGTGAATTCTCTCACCCTCTGGAGCCCCTGGTCGGTACCCCAGTGCTTGTATAAATAAATAAAATCTTAAAAAAAAAAAAAAAAAGAACAACAATCCTTTTACCTTGATCACTGCGGGCCCTTCCAGGACCAGGGACCTAAATCCAATGATCTGTTTTCTACCCATATCACAACCTCAGAATTGTAAACGATTGAATAAATGAAAGTCCATACATTGTGTATTTGAAAAAAAGGAAAAATGTATCCCCTGCCATCAGAATTGAGCCTTTCCTTTCTTTAGTCTGAAATGGATCATTGAAAGTATCTCCTGTGCATGATGGATGAAATAGGAATTCCACCTGCTCCCTTAACCCCACTTTGGGGATATAGCGAGAAGAATTGAAGGGTCTTAAAGAGGTATTTGCACACCCATGTCCATAACAGCATTCCTCCCAGTAACCAAGAGGTAGAAGCGACTCCCTTGTCTATCAGCTATTGAGTGACTCTACCAAACACAGTTCATCCCTACTGTGGAATATTATACAGCCCCCAAAAGGAAGGAAATCCTACCACGTGCTACAGCATGAATGAACCTGGAGGGCATCATGCTAAGTGAAATCAGTCACAAAAAGACAAGTACCCTAGGGCGTCCCCGGTGGCGCAGCGGTTGAGCGCTGGGCTGTGAAGCTGCCCACAGCCTCAGCAGCGCCGGTTCGATCCCCGGCCGCCAGCGAGGGTCCCACATGGCGCACAGACCCCTCCTGTCTCCCTGCTGCTCCCCTCAGCAGTGCACTTCATCAGTCTGCCTGTTCTGCTCCCCGCTCTGGCTCTGGTGGATTCTCTCGCCCTCCCACGCTTCTGACTGTACCCAGTGCTTGTAAAAATAAATAAATCTTTTTTAAAATGTTAAAGAGACAAGTACTCTATGATTCTACTTATGTGAGGTGTGGAAACAGGTTCATAGAGACAGAAAACAAAACGGCAATTAATGAGGGGGAGAAGGAAAATGGGAAGCTGTTTAATGGGCACAAAGTTTCAGTTTGCAAAATGAAAAGGTTTGAGAGCTCAATTGCACAACAATGTGAATATCTTAATACTACTGGACTATCCATTTAATTTTCATGTTGCATGCATGTTTTTGCCACTATTTGAAAACAATCTTTTGAGTTGATTTATAATAATAGTAAGGTTTAAAGTGTCTCTAGCTCAAAATGAAAAGCATTTACCCTAATTTTTTGGAAGCACATTGTTCACCCCACCCCACACTGTGTCCTCAGCATCTCCCATCCGACTCTCCTTGCTTGTGTTGCTTTATAATTGGCCAGGAATCCAGCAGTTTTCCTGAGTTCTGTGGGCCATGCTAGCAAATGACTGAGCCTGGGGAGGGGGTCATGGGGTGCCTGATGTATTCAGGCTAGGATGCTAGGATGCCCAGGGGCAGCTAAAACCATTTGGTGAAAATTTGCTGGGTCCAGGCCATTACCCCCATAGATTATTCTGAGTCATAGAGTGAAAAAGGTGTTTGACAGTGGAGAGAGATGGCTTCCTGTCCTAAATCATCAACAGCCGGTA